TTAACCAACCCCCTTACCCTTCAACCATGTACATTTGACTTAAAAGTTGCGAAGTTTTTGCTTATACAGGATGGAAATTTAACCATCATAGCTACCTCCGGGGAAATGATCATAAAATACTAACTTCGTTCAATATATAGAAGATATTTCGATTAGCATTCACAGATTTTGTGAAAATGATCAGTCCGCGTAAGGTAATTTTCACAATTTTTTTCCAAGTCTTCCAATCTTATTTCTGATAAGCATCAAAAACCTCTATTAGGCTAAGTGAGGTAAGAGTATAATAGAAATGTCAGAAATCTCCAAAAGCTTTGCTATAAATTTCGTAAGGACATTGAATAAATGAGTCATTGTAAGTAGTTACAGGAAAAGAAACTTAACATAATATAAGACAAAAAAAGATAAAAAAGATGGTAAGTGCAAAATCTGGGAATGCCAATTTTCATATCTATGATGCCAATCTAAATATCTTTAAAATTCATGGATACTCTTCTGAGATCTTTTCTTGTAGCTGTGATGGTTAATGGAGTTGTAATTATTGCTGACCCGTATTAAATTGCCACCCTGTATGTATATATAATCGGAATACATTACACTGTTTCTGGGATAGTCGGGTAAAACTGTGCAATTACCTATGGAATAGCCCTATGGCCAACGCTTACAATTATTGAACAAAAGGCGAAAGGATGCTGGCAGGAGATGTATGTGACAACTGAGGATCGGCCGAAATGACGGACATTGTTTGAGACCCACATCTAGCAGTGAACTAAGATAAGGCTGAAAATAATGATCATCATCAATTTGAACTTTGACTTTGTTTTGCTTTACCTCTACCAAAAAATGAAGTTATAAAAAAAAGCTGTGTTTATTGCCAGTATTTATGGAAAAAATTTAACTTGTGTCGCAATTTACACATTGATGTTGAGAATAATAAAATATATTGCCTACTGCCTTATTGTGTTCGATGAGTTGAGTTTGATGATTCATTTATTTATTTACCTAAATGATTATGATTCATTTTAAGTAAATAGACAAAAATAATATAATTATAAAACTTACTTTGAAACTTGAATTGAAAGAATTAATTGGATAGTGCGTAATGGGTTACGTTGCTGATACATGGCACAGGGAATTTCCTAATTTGGAACCTGGTAATTAGTGTGGTTGTCTTAAAAAACTGCACGAGGTACAGTTTGAACCGTGGACTGCTTTATCAAGTGACATAAAGACAAATTTCGATAAAAAAAAATATTGTACGTAATTGTACCAAAATATATTTTTTTAAATAAACTTACATACCCTTTCTACAATCTATTGTATACTTACAAAATTGCTTGTTTCGAAAAGAATAGGTTTTCTTAACATTTTATAGTTTATATGTGAATATCTTTCATGACTGTAATAATAATTTGATTCTCGTTTGGTGCAGGTCTTCAGATCGATATTCAATTCGAAACCCTAATATATCGAAACTTCGTAAAAAAGAGTCTATTAACCAATTCTTATAAAAATCGATCGTTTTGATGTAATTGGGCCTAAATTTCATGCTCTACTGATATGTTTATATTCGTATTTTAGGCAAGCAAGAAATTACGAAGTAAACTCAAAACTTAATTTAATTTCTTGCTTAAACTTGGGCAAAGTTCTTTTTGTAAATAAGAAAAATTTGCTTAGTCGCAGTTAAAGTTCGTTTTATGAATCTCGGCCTTAAAGAGGCAATATAACCTCAAAAAGATATGTTTGATTCACAACTGTGAATGTGTTGAATAAAATAAAATAAAATAAAATAAAATAAAATAAAAAAATATTGGAAAAATATTATAATAAAATTGAAAATATACACTGATCAGTTTATGGCGTGAAAACACGACTCGTAAAAATTTTCACCATAGAAAAAAACACAAACTTACCCCGAAATTTTAAAAGAATATCGCTGTATTCAATAGATACTTTACATAATACCAGGATTTTGTATAGTATATGATATACATTTTTCAAATCTATTCCTTACCGAATATAGAAATTAGAATATAGAATATAGAAATTACAAAAATAACCGTAACTTTTCTAATTCTTACGAAAATAGAACAGATGTTTATAAATATTTAAATCAAACCGTATGAATATTCTACGAGTCTCAATCACAGTTTAGACGTAGGACAGTTAGACTTATTGCAAGACATATAGAGTTGAATTTTGATCTTAAGTGTCAAGCACGACGAGTTCGTGACCCTGTACTATTAAGACAACATTAGTGATGATAAATTAAATCAATCAAAATGATCTTTCTTAGGTAAACAAATCACACTTGAAATCGTCACATTTATTACACACTAGATACTATAAAGCGTGAAACATAGAGAGGGCGGGCGCGGATCGAGCGCAAGTCGGGTCGGGACCGCGGCGAGTCTAATTTCGTGTATCGTAAATCGCGGGCGCGAGCGGAATTACCGCGGTTCCGACACGACGACGACCCGCACCCGCTTTGTGTGTTTCACGCTTTAGAGTCAAACTGTCTTATCATTTATGTTATCTTTAACAGAGCAATAACCTTGTTTCTTAGTAAACTGCCCGTGCCATAACCAACCCTGTACACTGGCTGATCGGGGGTAAGAACCTGAACTTGAAAGGTTCCTGTGCGGCACACAGGTTATAGTGCCCTTCTTGTATACCCTAACGGTCGGTAGGAAGGGTCACTATAATCAAAATTAATGCAGAAAGATATGGGGCTGTCTGTATCATAACTAACGCATTTGCATTTTCGTTTCTTTCGAATTATTGGCACCTAAAGATTTTTATTTGAAAAATGTTAATTACGCCGATTTTGTTTAGCATTTAAAGTGAAACTAAATAAGATATTAAAAAATGATTAGAGGGGGTTGTAGATCTTATTTCGCTGATTCCAGATATGTTATTAGCTCAAGTTTGTTAAAAATGTCGATTACATTACTTATGATAGGGAGGGCAGTAAGGGAAGGCCTGTAGATGATTTTTGAACAGATCGAGAGATAGATCTGAAACTGCTTTTGGAATGTTATTATAATATTGAATACCTTGCGCCACAAAAGAACCGATAATTAATAACATAGTTAAGTGATCTGTTAGGTAGAATGTTTACGATGTTCAAGTCGTTAAAACCATAGATTAAAACATACTAGTTAAATGGCAGAGAATAACTGTTAACAATGAAGCGATATCCAATTCTTTAACTTTTTGTCCTGTTAAAAATAAATTGAGAAAAAACTTTTTCTTTAACTTTAAAACCAAGTTGTACAGGGTCAATATCACGTCAAACTTGACACTTAAAACTTAAGCATAAGGTGTCCAGCTTGATGTGCTCTTGACTGTACATAGATTTTCTGCCTTTTGCACCTAGTTTAAACAGTCGTACATTAAAGTTAATCTTAATTAAACGTAGTTTTGTGTTTATTTTTAAATAAAAAACAAAAAATATTAATGACTTCCGTGTGCGGTTTATAAAGGTAGAAAAAAGAGATTGAAATTTTCCATAGTAGTTTATAAATGGGTTACGTAAGGAGTTAGATTCGTGTTTCCCACATCATTATAAGTCAATTAGGATTCGGTAAAAGACATTATCTTAAAGGTTATTTCAAGTAATAGCTCTTTTAAATATCTTTAACGTCACTGTTTTTTGTAAATAAAGCACAGGCATTGCTCCTCATAGTTCGGAGTAAATCACTAACTCACGAGTGAGTGCTTCACTCACAATTATGCACTGAGTGTATAATTCTATCTTTATTTAAATTTATTACTAAAGTTGTTCGGTTTCACGGACACTTCACGGAAAAACTTCGTCCAAGGAAGTCCTGTCACCTATTTCTGCCGCCAAGCAGCAATGTATGTGTGTGTGTCCTGGTATTTAAGAGTAAGGGTGCTGGTGAAATCACAGACATATGGGACTTTTAGTTATGTCTTAAAGTGACGGGCGCAGTGGCAGTGCCCCTCAGATCTTTGCGATTTAAAGCTCTGAGTGACATAGCAACGTTGTTTAAAAAAAGTTGCTTAACATGTGGTAACCAGGCTTAATAAAAAAAAAACTATATTTTTTGCACCTGTTACCGTGGGACCTGTACAGAGGTGGTTCCTTTGTAAAAACAAATATACGCGATTTATAACAAAGTTTAATTTCCAACGTGTAGCAGTCACGTAATTTTAAGAACTCCATATTGTTTTTGTTGGATATAAACTATAGTATAGGCAGTACTGCCAATGTCAAGTAGATAAGTTTATGTAGTATGTAGGTAGATAAAAATTTCGACGTCGTTGAAACAGACGACTCGGCCGATTCTACGCAAAACAAATTATGATATAAATATTTGATAATTAAGTACTATATTTTTTACTAGATTTAAAATTTAGGGTTGTGGTTGATGCTTAAAATATGCGCTATTTTTCAGTTACAATGAAGGTAGGTAACGTCAAAAGTATTTTATAGGTTCCGAAATAAATCCCACTTCACAATAAAATTACGTAGTGCTTTAGCAATTACCCCAATATTCAAGAACCTAATTTGACCATATCTAATGTTCATAAAATGTATTGAATTCAATTACAATGGTGTGATATTTTTCCACAGATTTTGTAAAACACATTATGATATAAATATTTGATAACTAAGTACTATATTTTTTACTAGATTTTAAATTTAGGGTAGTGGTTGATGCTTAAACTATAGATATGCGCCATTTTACAATTACAACGAAGGTAGGTAAGGTCAAGTGTTTTATAGGTTGCGAAATAAATTCCACTTCACAATAAAATTGTGTAGTGCTTTTGCAATTACTCCAATACTGAAGAACCTAATTTAACCCTATCTAAAGTTTATAAAATGTATATACTTATAAAATGTATCGAATTCAATTACAATGGGTTGATATTTTTTCAGAGATTTTCTTAATTATATTTTGTATCAGATTTTTTTTAGACAATAGTCTACAAAATTGCAACACAATTATATATAACTGAAAATAGTCTCTTACCTTTCTCCATGATTACGAAAAATGCTAGCACGAAGAGCGGTTTACGTGATGAATCAGAATAACGTAACTGCGCGAAACGACGGAACCGACTGCGCGCGCGCCGGCCGGTGTTGTTTTATATTAACGCCCAAGCTGGGAGATTCCTGACCTGGGTGAAGTCATGTCGTTGTCGTTTGCTTATTGAGTTTAAATTAAGCTATTTCCAATCATCGCTTAGTAGTAAGTAATATTTTATACTCTATCGTATTTCCAAACGTAAAATGTATCCAGTAATTAGTTTAGTAGCACAAGTATACAGTTTAATCCGTTCAATGTATTTATCGAGTTCTTGGAAATAGGTTTTTTTTATCTAATAATTATTGGGCCTGAAACACGTATTTAACGAAACAATGTGCGCTCTTTACAAGTCCTATAGTCACGGCTGACGTAAGGTATTAAAACATTTTATAAAATCGCATTAGCACATTCAAACTCTGTGTTGTGGCATATCTGTCAACTCAATTAGAGCCATTTATTTACTTGGTATCTAAACAGAACATATTACAATACTAAGTACGTGAATTTTATTTCTATCTTAATATATGTATCCCCGTAACAGGGAAACAGCATTCTTATATGACTACAAACAGACAAGATCTAAGAAACAGAAACAAAATGATTACAATACTCTCAAAATAGCACATAAGCTGCCATGTACAAAATAAAAAAATATATACGAATGTGAAATTGGAATAATATAATAATGAAACTTTTTATTTCTACAATTAAAATGGAAGTCACTCAAACACATTTTTCAGTAATTTTCCCTTGATTCGATTATACTTGATGCTGATGATGCTACAAGATGAGTTGCGTTGGCGTTGCGACAAACGTTGCGCTGTGGCACTGCGTTGTAACACACTTAAACTATTTATTCACCAAATAAAAAATAAACCTAACTTATTCAATAACATAAAAATTTACAGGCAGTGGACCAAGCTCAGCACACACTGTGTAGATCATACACACATATACATCACTGATTTTCAGCTTTACATATAAACCAAGACGACATGCCACGTGCGTTGAAACAGCGCGCCACCGACCGCAAGCAATTTAGGACAGACAGCAGCACTTCAAACCGCCCATTGACGGATCTTGTTTCGGTACAGTGGAGGCGATGTTCGAACAAAAGTGTATAGCTTGTTATGCTCATAACTGTACCTTGAAATCATAGTGTTGATATCATCAAAGGTACTAAAAGTTACAAATGTATCTTCTTGCTGTCCCTATAGTTTCATTACTGTGATCGTGTCTCTCTTATTTTTTTGATATATACGAATCATGGAAATTACAACATGAAATTTAATTTCCGCAGATGTTCATAAATAATTTTATAATCCGTGCATACGCAGGTGGGCGTTAATCATTATTTACATTGTCTATGCAGTTATACGTGTATTTGGAGATTATGTACACATTATTATCTACATTGATTTTGGTATTATCTATAGATATTTCCACAGTGAGCCCGAACATGATTTAAATGACAAAGTAATCGGAATTAAGGTGGTTTTCTACCGGCGAGGCGAGGAGAGATGAGGCGACACGAGAATAGAAATTTGTATGGCCAAATTTCAATTCTCTTCTCGCGCATCTTCGGTAGAAAAGGTCTAGATTGACGAGGATGGGCGAGGCGAGAATTGAAATCTTTGTTGATGCGAGCTCGCTCTCGAGATGGCTATTAATATCAATCGTGAGATTGTGGGGTACATACGATTTGAAATTTAACAAAATGATAGTTTTATCTGATTCTTCTTCCGTTAACATATGTAATAATAATGTGCGATAAATGTTACTTCAGTCGCGTATTTATCGCCAGATGAATAGAACATCACTGTACCTACACTGTCAACAATCACACCGCGAGCTCGCGCGAGCTATTATGGCAATTTTAGGTGGATATAGGCCGGCAAGATTTCCATTCTGGCCTTTTCATGGCTCACCGGTGTAAAACTACCATCATGTACTCACTTAAAGTTGTAAATTTTATTTATGCGTTTAGCGTGTTCAGTATCTGCATAATTTATACTAAAAACAATTGAAATGTCCTTTATGTTGCCAAATATACAAATATTTTGAGCACGGGTACTTTTGTGTAAATAAGTTTGATTTATGGATATTATGTACATTTTTGGTTAGTATAAGCGTTCAAATATATTTGAATAATAATTTCGAATTCAAATATTCTTACTAGCGTTTACCATCTAGCATGCCAGTAGCGGTCATTCACTCGACTTTCGTCCCGAAGACGCAATTCGACAGCGACCGAAAACCGATCTTAATAAATCTGTCGCAATTTTGACATTGCTTGAGTCCTTTAGTTCACTTTCATAACTAAGTTTTCTTAACTGGTTAAGAAAAACCCTTTTTTTATTATTGTTTTCACAACTGGTTTTTAAACAAGAATACGAAGTGTTCATTCATAACTGACAATCACAAATAGTTAAGAAACGAATAATTATGATTATGTTTTTATAACTAGCTACAGTCAGCATTAATATGAGTAACATGAAGTCACCGACATAACCAAAATAGTGTGAAATTGGGGCATATCATTCGGTGAATTGTTAATATCACATTTTTATTATTATAAATATAATTTATTATTATCATTAGTTGTTATGTTTAATGAAAAATAAGAAATAGGAATTAAGTTACAATAATATACCAATTCACATTAAACTAATGTTTAAAACTCAGTGCATACCTTAATAACTATAATTCGTTTCTCCAAATTCACAATAAAAAAATACAAAATATGTCAATTTCCATTTTAAAAGTCACTAAACACTACGAATCTCTAAAAAAGGCAATTTTTTTTATTACACCCTTGATTTACAATCTATCAAACATTCTGCGTTAATCTTGGCAACTGGCTGGTGGAGTGGCTCGCTGACAGCGTCGGATAATTTAAACCTTTGTCAGTCGTTGTCAGCGGACCATCAAAGCATTGTGTTTTTAACTATTGATGTAATTTGCTTTTAAAATATATTATTTTACTACTGACCTGTTATTATAATTGTTCTCTCCCTCGTTAGCATTTGGAGTACGATTGCGTTAGGTCGAGTTTCAGAAATAGTCACGTTCAAATTTTGGTATTAAAAAAAAAGTTTTACTAATTTGCGTTAATTCTATATAATAAATAATTTTATGCCTTCTTTCTTGGACCATCTTAATTCTTTTAGTACTAAGATCCAATTTACTATGGAACAAGAGAATTGTGATACTTTAGCTTTCTTAGATGTTTTAATTAAAAGTCCTAAAAAATCCTAATAACACCTTAGGCCATACTGTATTTCGAAAGAAAACCCATACAGATAGGTATCGCAATGGTAATTCCCATCACCATCCTAGCCAGTTAGCTACCGTGGGCAAATCTTTGTTTCAGAGAGCACATGGTGTCTGCGACAGTAATCATCTGGCAGGGGAATTTCAACATATAAAGCAAGTCCTACATGCGAATAAGTTGAAGATTCCATGCCAATGCCACAGGCCCCGTGTGAAACCACCAACAGTCAAGCGAATACCTGCCATCTTACCTTACGTGAGAGGTGTTAGAGACAAGATCGGAAGAGACCTCAGGCGCGCATCTATCAAGACCTATTTCAAGCCCCTGAGGAAGATTTCTCAGTTCCTGAGACCCGTGAAACGTAACATCCCCTTACAGGATGCAGGAGTTTACAAGCTTGATTGTGAGTGCGGTCTCTCTTATATTGGACAAACAAAGCGAAGTATTTGTACCCGCGTCAAAGAACATATAGCTGATGTCAAACACCGTCGCGTAAACAAGTCTGCAGTCTGCGAGCATGTCATGGATAAACCTACACATTCAATGAAGTTTGACAAACCCCAGGTCCTTGCAAAAGAAGTCCGTTATCTACCCAGGATGCTGCGAGAGGCCATTGAAATTAAAAAACATCCTAATTTCAACAGTGAAGATGGTTTCTCCGTGCCACCAGTTTGGGATCCAGTATTTCCTCTAATGAAAAATCCCAAACAGACATAAGACTGCAGTACTAATTAATATGTTTTAGTTTATTCTAATTTCTATTAATAATTAATAATAAATT